GCCAGATCAATAGCCAAATGCTAGTTTTGTTAAGCTGCTCCAGTAAAGACTCTATATCTTAAACAAAACTGAAATTAGAAAACTACCACTTAAATTTATGGTGATCAGCTGTCACCACGATCCATGCCATTATTGTAGGAGGTACACCAATCAATTGAATGAGGCTAAAGTAGAGGCTACTATTCCTGCATTCTATGACTTTGATGGCTAATCTCTGCATTTTCTATTGGTGTGCAACTGCTGCTTTTCCAAGTCCTTGTCCAACATTTTCAGCTGAGTTATCTGGGTTCAGAGGTAGGACATGAAATTTCAGGAGTTCCCCACTTGGCCATTCCCACTATAACTCTGAGAACATCATAAAGATTCTATCAGCTTTTTAAACGCTTTTAAAGCAGTTAACAAAAGTTAGCCAATGCTATAATCCTTACAATTACCACTCAGCATCCTGTTACAGAAGTGATCTTACTTTTACTGAAGTTATTTGTCATCCTGTGTACTTGACATAAAAAGTCTCCACCAAATGTACCAATAGTCCATTTTATTTGCTGGTTGTGTTGTCACTGCAAAAAAAGAACTATTGCTTTGATAATATCAAACTTCTTAGCATATCAATTTTGTGTAGTCTTTCTAATAATATTTAGTTTATCTGAATTGATTATCTTTTCCCAAAGTAACTATTTTCGAAAGAATTATTTATGTAATTGTATTTATTATTTTTAATATTTTTAAATATGCTGTAGGGCACATGTGCTCACCAGAGAGAGAAAAAAAAAGTAAAAAAGCAAGCTGCCGGCTTTGGGGCTTGAACCATGCTCAGCCATGTGGGAATCCAGCAACTTGACCACCATGCCACCTGCCAGCCCCCCAAACCAGTTCTTAGTCAAGCTTGGAGACACTCAAAATTTTACTCCAAATGATTTTTTTTAAACTTCAAATCCACTTATAACTTCATACTAATTTCTTTCTTATTCACTTAGTTCAAATGTAACTGCCTTTTTGTTTTGTTTTTAATTCATTACAAGGTATTTTGGAATCCTGATTTTTCAAAAGTTCCATGTTTTCAGTCAGTGCTTCCTTTTTTGGTAAGATTTCAAATTCTATTTTTAGCTAACCTACTTTTAGTGAGATGCCTAATAGATAATTGTAATCTTGAACTCTAGAGTTTTTTAATGGAACATAGGATTCTTATATTTTTAAAAAGTCCTTAAAATATAATACTTATTGGGACCAGCAGTTGGCATAATTGGCTATGTTGCTGGACTCCCATGTAGTCAACTGTGGTTCGAGTCCCAGATCTGGTGACTTAAACTCACACTGGGCACATGTGTGTCCCATGGCCATGGGGATGATTTCTGGCTTTCTGTTTCTGTCTCTCTTTCTGGCGAGCCCACATGCCCTATAGCAAAAACCTCTCTCAAAAAAAAAAAAATGTATATATATATATATATAAATATATTATATATATATATATATATATAAAATCGTGTGAACTGTAGAATCTTTTTCATACACTCATGTGAGTTGAAAAAATAATATGTATGTATATATTCAACTTAGTCACATAACACAGGAAGATTGCTATCCAAGGGCAAAAATGGAAATTTTACTGTCATCCATACTTGTTAGGCTGTTCCAATAAAGATTCTACATCTTGTAGAACAGCTGAGATTAGAACTTAGTTGTTGTTTCGATATAATGGGTTCTTGTTTATGTAGTATTTATATAATTTCTTTACAAACATTACAAACAAAAAAACAGGTTGGTTGGATGTTGCAGTTCATAATATCCCCTGTAGAGGGCAGCAGAGAACGAAGATTTTGCTTTCTCTCCCAGATTTATGGCTTTCCTACCCGGATTTCCAGTTAATTGTTACTGTTCAAGATCCCAAGCAGTTTTTCACACTTAAAAAGGGTGAGAAGATGAGTAAGCTTAATAAATGGTGAAATATAACCCATCTCCATTATTTTAAAAAAATAAAAAACTCAAAGCAAAAAAAATAATAATGTGATCTTGTGTACACAACACACTGATAAATATAGAAAGGTACCAATGATCCTTTCTGCAAGAATTAGTACTGTCCAGAAACCTTAATAAATTATTTCTTACAGATTATTTGTCTTTATAGTTTGCACTTATTATTCTTTCCATTCACTTGCCAATTCCTGTCTTTATTCCACTGAGCTAGCACTATGAACTCCTCATTGAACTTGTAATCACTAAATTCATGGATCTTTTCTTACTTTCCTTAACTTCTGCTATAATTTCACCTTTTCTTTCACTGACTTCTTCCTCTATTCCTTTCCTTCTGTCTACTCCTTTGCAAAATAATCTTTTCATTTATATTCCTCCAAAGTTAGATCCTTGTCCAGATCTTCTCTTTTAGGCATTCAATCACTCCCAGAGCTTTAATTCGTTTCTCTGTTCATCTGATTCTCCAGTCTAACTCTACTACTGCTAGATCCTTTTCTAAGTCTTTGTCCAACATTTTAAGCTACTAGCTACATATTTTTTATTTACATGTTCTTTAACTGGCTTAGACTCAGTTTATCTGAGGACTTAAAATTTTCTTTCGGAACCAGCAGATGGTGTAATCATTACGTGGCTGGATTCCCATGTATAATAAGGTATATGTGGCTGGTATGTTCAAGGTGGTTGACAGATGACTGGAAGCAATGCACAAATCACAATCGCAATTTGAGTCCCAGACCCAGCGGCTTAAAACTCATGCCCAGCACATGTGCGAGCGTCCCCAAAGTCCCAAGAGAATAGAGGGGAAGGGAATGCTGCATGACCATCCCCCCTGGGGGGTGACTTCTCTCTTTCTGTGTCTCTGTCTCTGTCTCTCCAGCAAGCACATGCACCATATAAAAATCTCTCTTAAAAAATTTCTTTTCTTTCAAAATTTGTTTTTTATTTATTTATTTATTTAGGCTGCCTCTCCTCTGGTTTTAATATCTCAGAGGCATCTTCTTTGACTTTTTGCATGTATCTTTTCCCTTTCCCACTGCCCTTACCTTCTGCATAATTCTGGAAACCTGATTGTGATTTGTGCATTGCTTCCAGTCATCTGTCAACCACCTTGAACATACCAGCCACATATACCTTATTATAACATAGCTGTCGTTCTCTCTCACCTGCTCAATATCTGCTCTGTCTTTACCCACAGCTGTGGGTTCATTCCCTCATCCTCCTTAAGTATACTCTTACTCAAACCTGTGAAAAACAACTTGCATTCAAGGCTCCACTGAAATAACATCATACAACCTCTTCCCTAGCTTCTTTCCCACCCATGCCTGGGTTTTGAAAGACTATCAGAAATGGTTTCTCCTTCTAAACTCCTGGAGCACTTTGTAGCTACAAATCTTATTTTGGAATTTACAAGGCTGTTTGGATAAGCTTGCTATTCATACGACCTATCTCCACAATGGTCTGTTGGCATTTTAGGAGCATTTTTTTAATAACTCAAGTATATAGGATAGGTACCTTTTGCATAGTAGATATATCTTATCTTAATAAATCCTAAGAATAGAAATGGTTTTGCAAATTACTGACAGCATATCACTTATAGTAGTATACAAGTAAGATAAAATTCTACCATTCAAAATAGAATATAGTACTTTGTTTTAAAATAGAAAATCTGCTTTGTAGTAGGCCTATCAAACCAACAGAAGTAGTTTTCATAGAAGAAAGGATTTAGATTAGAAATTTAGAGATTGTCAGGTCCAGCAAGTAGCATGGAGGTTAAGGTACTGGATCTCTCATGGCCAGCTGAGTGGTTCAAATCTTGGAGGCTTAAAAAATCACTTCAGGCACATTTGTATGCCTGCCCAGAACTCGAAGAGGAAACTGGAGGAGAAGGGATTGTGATATGGCCATCTTCCTTGGGAAGGAATGATTTCTCACTTTTCCTCTTTCTGTCTCTGTCTCTTTTCTCTGGCAAATACACACACCTTATGGGAAAAAAAAAAAACTAAAAAAGAATAATTGAGACCCTGTCACTAGTGTGTAACTTCAGGCAAATCACTTCACCTCTGAGTCATTTTGTTACCTGTAAAATGCAAGAGTTTTTAAGTACATTTTTTTGGTCATGTTAGGACTATATAAAGATCAGTAATGAAGTACAGAGTGCTACACTTCAACAGAAATCACATTTTAGAGATATACATGTTATAAAACACCTGGCACACAGGTATCAAGGTTTTGAATTTTTTTTAATCTGCTCTTAAGTTTAAGCAATACTGAATTTAAAAATTTGAAGTCACCCAATTTTACTTTACCCATAATCTGGTGGAAGATTTACTTCAGGAATAGAGTTGACTAGAAGTGTGCCTAATGCAGTTGCATTGCTATTCTTATGATGAGAACCATTTTATATAAATGCTTATATAGTTTTATAATTGTGAATATGTTTTTAAGTTTTCTGGATAATTTGGCCTTTTTTTCGTATGTACAGTTATTTCACCCTGAAAAGCTGTTTTCCTACTTTAAGTTGTCCATACTAAATTTTTTCCTAAGGAAAAAAATAATAATAATCCCCATCTCTGACTAGAGTAGATAGCTTGGATAGCAAATTTTTTTCCTTTGGGAATGCTTTTCAATCCCAGAGAAATTTCTGCCTTCCATTAACCCACCTTCTTTCTTTCCTCTCTTCTTAACTATAGAAATTCCAAACCCTTTAAATAAAGAGCTTTCTCTTGCACTGTGAAGCCCAGAAGCTTAGGTGTGCCCAACTCTCTGTTAACTAAAGTCACATGGGCGTCGGGCTCCGCCCCTAGATCCTTCGACTCCAGCCCAGCCCCCAGAGCCCTGAGGTCTGCGTGTCTGCTCCTTGTGGCTGGCAGAAGCGGTCAGCTCCACCTCTAGCAGGAGGCATGGGCACATGGCTGCCACGGGGGGCTGAGCACTCTGAAGAAAAGCCTCTGTGCTTCTACAGAGCTTTGCTACAGGGCTGATTCGGGTGTGGATTAATTTGGAACATTTGAAGGAATACTTGGTAAAGTATGGTGGCGCATGATGAGATCGGCGGTCTCCTACCTATTAAAAGGACCATACGAGTCCTAGATGTTAATAATCAGCCCTTCAGAGAACAAGAGGTAAGGCTAAGAAACATTAAGCAAAGGGAATGTTCACCAGCTCTATGGAACCTCTAAGATTTTTAACAATTTATTAACACTGTAATTTTAAACTTTTGATTTTATTAAATGTTAAAGGTTTGATTTACACACAAGTTTGAAATGTGTTTAGGAACTTATTTAAGTTTAAACTTGAGTGTATGCAACTTTTATACAAAAAGAAAAATTTTAAATATGTATACTGATAATGAGTTTGTCATTTTTCTGGTAGTAAATGTTACTGTGTTTTTGTTGTTTTTAACTTCATTTATTTTACCTAGTCTTAGCAACTTCTTTCATGAAGTGAGAGGAAAAAATAAGACTCCCTGTCTTGCCAGTTAATGCCAGAGAACATATTGCACCTAAAACCCTGTCTGACCTGGAGTGTATGTTTATCTTTCCATAGCTAATAAGTTTGATTTTGTACCATTTTTTTCCTTAGAAAGAGACATATTAAAAATATTTTAACCAATGTCTCATTGCTTAAGCTGGGATTCTTTAAAGCGTTTGTGAAAATATATCAACTCAAATTATTTTTATGCCATTTTATGTCATCTGACAGTTGATTGACGGAATAGGTGGTGTTCTATTTATACTACATACTGCCATATATACACACCCTATGGCGTATATTACATTATCAATTATGTGATGGAAATAGTGGCTTCATGTTTATGTCAAAACTTATATTGCTGTTTGTTATGCCTACACACTCATTTTGGTGGTTGAAATAGCTGCCATCTTTAGGAGTTACACTTTTATTTGTTGTGGATTGACTTTTATTTTTGTTTTGTTTGCTTAGTTTTAGTTTTCACTTACGTATTTCAGTCTTTCCTAAATGTACACACATTTCCTTTGAGTAAAACAATTCATACATGGTCATCATTGTAAATACTGATCATCTTGAGCTATCAAGAATTAGTCTTTTTTTTATTTAGTATCTGACATGGGCCATGTTTCTGGCATAACTTTTTTCTGAAGATTAAATCCACTGGCAATATTATTAGGGTTTTTAGAACTACCAACAGTCTTAAATAAATCATTTGCATTACTAAGTAGAAAGGGGAAAAGGTCCCATGTGATTATACCTGATTTTTATCTTTTTAAAAGCAACTTTTTATTTTCATTTGTCTTATTTTAAAGTTCTTTCCAGGTATGAGAGATTATTTATCTAGTAAATAAAACTAATAAACCCAGACACATATTATTTTTTTAAGGCTCTTGGATTTGATTGACCATAGACAATACTCTCCTAAAGTATGTTCTCTTCAGTGGCATTATTAGAAGAAAAATTTCTTTGCAAAAAGTTGAATTAACAACAGGATGTTTTTCTGTATTATTGTATTTATATGTAAAGTACTTCCCAGTAAGAGATTTTATATTAATCCTTACACTTTTCTGTTTGTAGATTTTGAGAACATTTTTAGCACATAAAATGTGACTCTTAAGTGGATTATTAAAATGAAGTAAAATCCTGGTCTGAACAGAGATTTCTGATAATAGTACATGTGACTGGCTAGCTAAACTGTAGATAGTCTGGTTAAAAATTAATCTGAATAAACAGTATGAACTTCTGTTAGAGGGTTTTTATTTTCTTACGTGAACTTTATCCCTGGTGAAAGGTTGCCACCAGTACAGTTTTTTTAGCATATGAAACTTGTTGGTACTTTTTGTTTATTCCCATAGATCTTTAGATTATCTTCTGAGGAGGATATAGAGTTTCAGTATCCATATCTGTTCTTTAAGTTTCTTGTGTCTCTGTAACATGTTTCTAACACTCCAAAACAAAAATGATAACAACAAGCCATTGTATGAGCCTTACTTTTTGTGGTGGTAAGATGGGTATATTTCTACTCCTCTTTTCTCTTATCACCTCCAAATACATCCTCTCTGTGGAGAAAAGCAAATGTGGCATAATACCAGTTCTCTGAAACTTTGCCTTACTGTTTGTGAACAGTACAAATTAAGTTCTTAATCCAACTAAAGTTACTAAAACAATTCATGTAGACCTCTAAAGAAAAACTACTTTTGGTTGTAGCTCACAAGAGCTGAATCCTAGCCTGTATGCCAAGAGAGACAAATTTTTGCCCTAGTCTTTTAGGGGCTCATGAATGACTTTAATTTAAAAAAAAAAAAAAGCTTTCTTACATAGTTTGTGTATCTGGAAATTAGTAGTAGGCCAAATTCAGTATTGTACATTTATGTTTTGTGATAATACTTTTCAAGTTATTTTACTCATTAAAATTTTTGCTGAAAAGTTTGTTATATTTTCACACATTTTTCATGTATATCCTTTGTGATTAAACCAGGAATGTTACTATTGGCTCCCCAAAAGCTTGTGTAAAAAGTCTCCCCTTCTCCCTCCCCCCACCCATGTTTCCTGATTTAGCACCATGCTTTCCTACCCAAACATGTTAAAGTTGATCATCTCCAAAGAGCAATATGTCCTTTGTGGAGAAGTAAGATTATACTTACGTTTTTATAAGACTGTAGAACGTATTACCCAGCTAATACTAAACATAATGTTTGCTACTCTAAAGAGGCTATGATCTGTGTTAGTTTCAAACGTATGTTTTAGATATACTTATATTCAATTATCTAAATCTATACTCTGTACTTTTCATTTTAAATATCACATAATTTTGAGTTATCAGGAAATTAGTAGTTGTATAGTAACTGATTCTAAAAAGATAAGAATTTTTACCATTGTTTTGATTTTATGTAATAAAATAGATAATACCATTGTTCTAGCTAAATTAACTTTTCCTTTGAATTTCCTTTGAATTGAAAAGCACTTTTTTAAAGGCTTTTAAATTGAAATTAAATATTTTGTTATTAACTGGGAAGTCAAATTTGTTATGCTCAAGAAGGAAGAGGAGTTGATCTCTTGGCAAAAAAGTAGAGCTAGAACCTTCTGACAACTGCTTTATTTCTAGTTAATATGGACATATCATACTTTGTGGGGTAATTCTATCTCCAGTCAAACAGGAGACTCTTTGTACTGTCTTTACTAAATGGAAAGGAATGCCCTGAGCTGGCCTCTGCACACACTTGTGTCACTCAGTGTTGCAGATGGATGTGGTAAAGGCATTCACACATGTCCCTGCTGCATAGCCTGTGCTATTTCACTACATATCTCAAAGGCTTCTTTTTACGTTCATTTAACATGTGCATTAGTCTTATATTCAGGCTATTACTCTGGAGTTCATTATTTGGGGAAGGGGATCATCTACAACTTCTTAAAACCTTCAAAATTCTGAATTCTCTTTGATTATCTACAAAGTCTCTACTTTAGTCATTGACATTCCTTTCCAATATATGTATAAACATTCAAGAGCTTTAATAAGACTAATTACTTCTTTGGATATTCAAATCATTTAAACTTTTTTCAACTATTTCTGCCAATGTATTCTTAACTTATTCAAAGGAGATTATTTTTCCTCAATTTTCTCACCCTTTGCTTTTTATATGACTTGAGTCATGTCAAAAAAATTTTAGGGGAAAAAATATTTATTTTGTTATTTTTAAATAATTTGTATTTTAAAATGGCAATTTTTGATAAACCTATTCATTAGATTGACCTATCTTACTGAATTTTTGTCAAAATTATTTTGTCCAGTATGCCACAATTGTCAGAGGCACCAAATACAGATAATTATGTTCCATAGATATTATGAAGCATAGACCTATCTTCCTGTTTTTTGTTTTTATTTTCAGAGAGAATTTTGCTATAGGGCACGTGTGCTCACCTGAGAGACAGAGAGAAGGAGAGAAATCACCTCCAGTAGGGATGAGCACACCACAATCCCTTCTCCATTTTCCTCTTGGAATTTTGGGCACACAGGCACACGTACCCTGTATAAGTTTCAAGCAGCTGGATCTGGGCTTGAACCTCAGTCAACCATATGGGAGTCCAACATCTTAACCATTATACCATCTACTGATCCAGGCCTTTCTTTTTATGACTAGGCATTTATTTCAGTAACTAAATGGGTCACTTAATGACTCCCTCCCATAAAATCAGGATAATATTAATACGTTTTTATAAGTTTCAAGATTCTTGAATAAGTGATGTAGTCTCTATACTAGTACTGTTTTTAAAGCAATACTGTAGGATAATAAACCATTACTTCTGAATTTGTGCGTAATTTTTCTTTACTATATGGAAGAGGATCTAATTATTTATAAGTTTCAACATTTATGTAGAAGTAGAAATATCCCTATGAAGGAATATTAGTGATAGCTAAAACTTAATATGTGCCAAGCACTGTTCTGAGTCCCTTTACTCAATTAATCTTAACAGCAGCTTTTAAGAGATGTTCTACTATTTTCCGCATTTCACAGATGAGGAAACTGAAGCTCTGGGTATATCCTTGCAAATGCTAGAGCCAGGATTTGAGCCCAGTCATTCTGATCCCAGAGCCTGAGAGCAGCTTAACTTCTCCCCTGCTTTAGCTTGAACTCTTTTTTGACCCATTCCAGTGTCAGACATGTTTATTTAAAAGTTATTCTCTAACTAAAATCATTAAGAGCGAAATGATACATTTGGGCCAGCTGGTGGAGGTAGCTCAACCCCACATGGCCAGCCGCACTGTTCATGTCCTGGGCCCAGTGGCTTGAAAAAACATGCCAGATGTGTGCATGTCCAAAATTCTAAAAGGAGGGAGAGATAGAGATGGGACTAAGCCATGACTATCCTCCTTGGGGGGAAGAGTGTTTGCTCTATCTCTCTCTCTTGCTGTCTGGTAAGCACATTTAACGCTTTGGCAAATTAAATAAAACAAAACAAAAGATTTGCTTTAAAATATTCACATGGGGCAGAAAAAAAAATTATTATATCAGAAACCAATGAAACTGAGTGACAAATTCATGTATCCATTATGTTCTTTATTTTTGTGTGTATTTGAAATTTTTCATTAAATTAAGACTTTTTTATTTTTTTATTTAATTGTTTTAGAGGTTTTTGCTATAAAGCACGTGTGCTCGCCAGAGACAGAGACAGAATGCGAGAAATCACCCCCCAGGGGGCATGGCCATGCCACAATCCCTTCTCCTCCATTCTCCTCTCAGGGTCTTGGGCACGCACATACATGCGCCTGGCATGAGTTTAAGCTACCAGGTCTGGGACTCAAACCGCGGTCGACTATATTGGAGTCCAGCGACATAGCCATTACTCCAACTGCTGGTCCCAAAATAAGGCTTTTTTTAAAGTTATTTTACACTTTAAAAGATCCTTGGGATTTTAAAATTGAACTTTTTTTTTTTTTTTTTTTGGAGAGGTTTTTTGCTATAGGGCGCGTGCGCTCACCAGACAGAGACAGACAGAGAGACAGAAAGCGAGAAATCACCCCCCAGGGGGCATGGCCATGCCACAATCCCTTCTCCTCCATTCTCCTCTCAGGATCTTGGGCATGCACACACACGCACCCAGCGTGAGTTTAAGCCACCAGGTCCGGGACTCGAACCGCAGTTGGCTATGTGGGAGTCCAGCGACATAGCCATTATGCTAACTGCTGGTCCCTAAAATTGAACTTTTTCATTTTCAATTTAGTTTTAGTTTTTCTTTCTGCCCAATTGTTTTATTCTCAAAAAGTTCTTCCTTACATCATTTTTTTAAATACTGTTACTCAATAGTGATCTTACTATTTTATCAATGTACAACAACATTAATTTTCAGAGTTTCATGCTTTTGTATTTTATAATGTACAGATGATGCTCTGTGAGAGGACTTCACTTTGTTCAACTTGGTATTAAACCATCATAACGTGCAATATACATTTGTTGTAACCTGGTTTTGTCTTACAGGAACCAAGCAATAAAAGAGTTCGACCTCTAGCTCGTGTCACATCCCTTGCAAATTTAATCTCTCCTGTAAGAAATGGAGCAGTCAGACGTTTTGGTCAAACGATACAGGTAAAAAAAAAAAATTGAGGGGAAGGGAAAGGAGAATAATGTAGTCAGAACATTTGATAGAAACCTAAAATTTATATTTTTCCTCATATTTATGAACAGATTTGCACAATTACACTTAAGCATGTTTCTTCTTAGAATATGCTGATAAGGATTATTATTACTAGAACCATATTTATATAACCTTATAATACTAATTTTCATCTTACATCAGGATAATGTTGCATAGTTTTTATTCCCAAAATATAATTTTTGCTGATAAATATTTTAGAATGATAGATCGAAACATATATAAAAGATTGTTTTATCCACTGAGAAGTTCTTATACTTTTTGTTTTTAATTTTTCTTTTTTCGGGACCAGCAGTTGACGCAATGACTATGTTGCTGGACTCCCATGTAGTCAACCATGGTTCAAGTCCCGGACCCGGTGGCTTAAACTCACACCGGGCACGTGTGCATACATGCCCAAGATTCTGAGAGGAGAATGGAGGAGGAGGGATTGCAACATGGCCATCTCCCCGGGGAATGATTTCTTGCTTTCTGTCTCTATCTTACTGGCGAGCGCACGCGCCCTATAGCAAAAACCTTTCCCAAAAAAAGTAATTTTTATTTTTTCAATTAAAAAGGAAAAGGAATAATTACTGTTTTTTCTAAAATCTTACTTTCTCTTTTTTCAAGTCATTTACCCTTCGTGGTGACCATAGATCCCCAGCCTCTGCCCAGAAGTTCTCTAGCAGGTCAACAGTCCCCACACCTGCCAAAAGAAGAAGCAGTGTGCTATGGTCTGAGATGCTAGATACCAGCATGAAGGAGTCTTTGACCACTCGAGAGATCAAACGTCAGGAGGTATGCTGGCATGCATTGCCAAGACTGTATTCATTAGCCTGTACTAGACAAAAGACACCCCTATGTTTTAAACATACGTTTTTCCAGAAGATAAACAAACTAATGACTATGATAAAATTAACTTGCATTTTTTTATTTGAGCAACAATTCATAGCACATAGTAAGCAACATCTAAACTTATAAAACATTGCAACCTCTTATTTGAGAGTCTATGCTGAATTATAGTTTCCAGACTGAGCCACTTTAAAAAGTGGTGTTCTAGGGGCCAGCAGGTGGTGAGGTGGTTAAGGGTGCTAGACTTCCACATGGCCGACCGCAGTTCAAGTCCTACACCTGGCGGCTTGGCTTTCTCACTTTCTGTCTGTCTGTCTCTCTCTCTCTCTTTTTCTCAGTCTGTTCCTCTCTGGTCAAATTAAAATAAATAGATAAATAAAGTTAAATACAATGATTCTTTTAAAAAAAAAAAGTAGTGTTCAGAACATCAGTTAAATTATCTAAATATTGGGACCAGCAATTGGCATAATGGCTGTGTTGCTGGACTCCCGTGTAGTCGACCACAGTTCAAGTCCCAGAACTGGTGGCTTAAACTCACACCAGGCACGTGTGCATGCATGCCCAAGATCCCAAGAAGAGAATGGAGGAGAAGGGATTGTGGCATGGCCATCCCCCTGGGGGATGATTTCTCACTTTCTGTCTCTCTGTCTCTCTCTGTCTTTCTGGTGAGCACATGCGCCCTATAGCAAAAACCTCAGAAAAAAATTATGTAAATATCACTTTTATATAATTTTCTTTTCTTAAAGGAAAGAATACTCTCTAATGTTTGCTGGTTGCTTTTTAGGCAATATATGAAATGTCCCGAGGTGAACAGGATTTAATTGAGGATCTCAAACTTGCAAGAAAGGTCAGTAAATAACTTAACAGATGGATGCCCTAGTTTTTAAAATTTTTATTTCACAAATTCTAAGACAGTTTTCTTAACCTTTTGAAGTAGAAAACCTTCTGCCAGTGAATACATTTTTTAGATAAAATTTAGACATAGCTCTTCAATTATAAAGATTAGTATAGTCTATTTTGGGATTAACATATACTTTAATTTCTTTCATGAGTAGCAAACAGAATCCATGCTAGCTTTTGTGTAGTCAGCCATGTTTGCCTTCAAGAATAGACCTTATGGATGTTTTCCTGGCTTGATCTCTTTGTGTGACACATTTCTCTCCCTCTGATAGGCCTACCACGACCCAATGTTAAAGTTGTCCATCATGTCAGAAGAGGAACTTACACACATATTTGGTGATTTGGACGCTTACATACCTCTGCATGAAGGTTAGATATGCTACTTAATTGTCATTAATATCTGAATAGCAGTAACACAAGTCATTTAAATCTAAACTATATGGTGTCAAATTATTTTTTAAATAAACCTATTATTGCTGTTTCTGTTTTTTGACACTTTAGATTTGTTGGCAAGAATAGGAGAAGCAACCAAGCCTGATGGGACAGTGGAACAGATTGGTCACATTCTTGTCAACTGGGTATGTAGCTAGTGGTTGACTCCAGATAGTTTCTTACAGATATGCCATATCTAATCCATGATGACTATGAGATCAAATTGGATTCTACAACAGATAAGCTATTAAAACTAAACAAGTTTCACAGTGACATAAGAGGTTATAGTCTGTTTAAAGACAGAATTCATTAGTGGTACAATTACATTTGCATTACAGATCTGTCCCTGCTTGGACAGAGTTTCCATGTCATATGCCAGGACTCACTTGTTGCATTTTTTCACGTACCTGTCAGATACTGGGCCCTGTTTGAGGAATGGTCACTGGGGATAGATATAGCAGTGAAAGATGTATTTGTAACCTAGAGAGGGAAAAGCCAGGCACTTAAACAGTCTCAGAGTTGGTGGTGAGCATGATGGAGTACATTCAGAGGTCCTGAGGACACAAATAACTAACTTCTAACTGGTTCTAAATAGGAGCTGGGGAAAGTAGAAATCATGAGTCTTCAGTTACACTTAACCAAATTATGGAAATTGGAAGTGTGTTCTGATGTTGGCCAAAATATTGTTCTGTCGTTATCACTTAGAGGAAAATGTCCACAGCTTGTTAAAACTGTAGAGAACAGCTGTGCCTTTTGTGTTTTGTGTTCACAGACTCCTTAATATGCTCAATCCTAACAGGATGCTTCATGCTTTTCCTTTTATTACTTTTCAGTTACCAGGCTTGAATGCCTACAAAGGCTACTGTAGTAACCAGCTAGCAGCCAAAGCTCTTCTGGATCAAAAGAAACAGGATCCAAGAGTCCAAGACTTCCTCCAGCGATGTCTGGAGTCTCCGTTCAGTAGAAAACTAGATCTCTGGAGCTTCCTAGATATCCCTCGAAGTCGCCTAGTCAAATACCCTTTACTGCTAAAAGAAATTCTTAGACACACTCCAAAAGACCACCCTGATGTTCAGCTTTTAGAGGAAGCTGTAAGTAGTCTAATAAATGATTTTTTTGTTTTTCAAGTATCAATACATTTAATCTACAGAATGTCGTATCTTGTCATTTTAAGTATCCAGTACCTTAGGGCTCTGTGCATTAACCATAAGGAGATATCCAACTTAACACATTTTATATTTCAGTCAAGGGACTAGATTCCAATCCGGTCTCTTCACTTAGCTAACTGCTCTGACTTGGACAAATCACTCAATTTGGTTGGGACTGTTTCTTCTTCTATAAAATGAAGAGATTTCTAGAGCCCCTTCAAACTTTAGAATTGTATCATTTCATGTGATATTTTTGCCTGGAATATAAGCAGGATGAGTTACTGTACTGAAGTTACTCCATAAACTTTTTGGTGTTTTCTTAGGTGTTGATAATACAAGGTGTTCTCTCTGATATTAACTTGAAGAAAGGTGAATCTGAGTGCCAATATTATATTGACAAGCTGGAGTATCTAGATGAAAAGCAGAGGGACCCCCGAATTGAAGCAAGTAAAGTGTTGCTGTGCCATGGAGAACTGAAGAATAAAAATGGACATGTGAGTGTACTTGAATATACTTGAATATTGAAAGGCAGTATGCCCTTACCTCCCTTTCCCACCATGTTCAATAATGTTGCATATAAATTATGAAGCAGGTTTATAAAAATAAGCTTGATGTAGTGAAAGAAAGTTACTGATCTTTTTCTATGTTGCCAGCTTTTTTTTTTTCCAGAGGTTTTTGCTATAGGGCGCGTGCGCTTGCCAGACAGAGAGAGACATAGAGACAGAAAGCGAGAAATCACCCCCCAGGGGGGATGGTCACACCGCAGTCCCTTCTCCTCCATTCTCCTCTTGGGATCTTGGGCACGCACGCACACGTGCCCGGCATGAGTTCTAAGCCACCGGGTCCGGGAAGTGAACCGCGGTCAACTACGTGGGAGTCCAGAGACATACCCATTACGCTAACTGCTGGTTCCCCTATGTTGTCAGCTTTGATAAAGCAAACATTTGGTTCTTTTAGCTGTGGAATAAGATCATTTAATGTCTCCATGAAAAATAATACCTTATTTTTTAGTTTTAAAGTATATATGTCAACCTGTTTGGGTAGGGATTTCTTTCTAAATACACTATTAGTTCCATAATGCTTAATTAAAAAGGCATGTTCTTCCAAATATTTTTTCAAGAGCTTACTTTATAGTTATGAAAGTAGTTTTTAGTATTACTCAACACATTTCTGAAGCAGATTGTATGAAAGCAAATTCATTTAAAAATGTATTTGTAATTGCCAGAGGATATGTGCACTTGCAAGAGAGAAAGCCCTTCCCGCCATGGGCTGTGGTCATACTCCAATACCTTCTGTTTCTTTTTTCCATCTCATCAGAATTTTGGGCATGCACGCATACACATGTGCCCACTATGTTTTTCAGGCCTCTAGGGCCAGGATTGAAACCAGAGTTGGCCATGTGAGATTTGGCTCCTAGTGCCTAGCACTTTGGGGATGGGGCCATCCCTATTTTTAAAATGTCAATTACAAAAGTGCCTCCTGCCACTAAGGATAACCATAGAATAGTATTTTTGTTTCTTATGTACTATTCAAAAACTCAGTTTATTAGTGGTGTATTTTTGTTTTTAAGAAAAAGTTGAAATCTGATGTCTCTGGTTTTTGTCATGAAGCCTAATTGTTCTATTATATTGCATAAAGGCTTAAATGTATGAGGAAAAAAATGAAACTATTAACATTTTACCAGCTTACATGCATGCATGCATGCATGCATTTACTTATTTCAATTTTTGCCATAGGGCACATGTGCTCTCTGGGCAGGGGCAGGGGGGTGAGAAATCATCCCTCAGTGGGATAGCCCTGCCACAATCTCTTCTCCATTCTCTTTTTGGGATTTTGGGCACGCACACACACATGCCTGGCATTGAGTTTCCAGCTACCGGGTCTGGGACTTGAACTACAGTCAGCCGTTTGGAGTCTGCCACCTTAACTACCACACTACCTGCTAGCCTGCAGCTTGAATTTTTTTAATCCCAAATTTGTTAGAAAACTGGTATATGCAATATTAGTGTTTCAAGTTATGTTACTACTGATAGATATTTGTACCATCTAGTGTTTACTTAGCTGTTGCTTAATCTAATATACACCAATAAAAAAGGATTTATATGGTATGAGAGTAGGAAAACTTTTCAAGCAGAGCATTGCATAGCCTTGAACATTGCATAGCTATTATAGTTATAATTGCTATTATAAGAGATACAATATATAATATTATATATATACTACATGATACAGCTATTTATAAGAGATATCTTAAAAAATAAATTTGATGACTGGACCAACAGTTAGCCTAATGGCTATGTCGCTGGACTCCCACGTAGTCGACCGCGGTTCGCTTCCCGAACCTGGTGGCTTAAAACTCACACCGGGCGTATGTGCGTGCGTGCCCAAGATCCTGAGAGGAGAACGGAAGAGAAGGGATTGCAGTGTGGCCATCCCCCCTGGGGGGTGATTTCTCGCTTTCTGTCTCTCTGTCTCTCTCTGTCTGGCGAGCGCACGCGCCCTATAGCAAAAACCTCTCAAAAAAAATAATAAATTTGATGAAATTAGTATAGTGTCAAACCAAGTTATTTTACCAATATATTTCAGTCATTTAAAATCATGAAGTTTCGTGTTTATTGATAAAAGGCATTTGTTTCCCTTACTCCAGAAACTTTACATTTTCCTATTTCAAGACATCCTGGTTTTGACCCGGCCTGTGACACGAAATGAGCGTCACTCTTACCAGGTGTACCGACAGCCAATCCCAGTGCAGGAGCTGGTGCTGGAGGACCTGCAGGATGGAGATGTGCGCATGGGAGGATCCTTTCGAGGAGCTTTCAGCAACTCCGATAAAGGTAACATGCGGTCTTCAAAATGATTTAAACAATCATAAGCTGAGCCTAAATAAAGCTAAGTTTAACCTTTAAGAGTTCTGAAAAATGAAATAGTTCCATTTCTTGTACTTATTACACCCATTGCAGCGTCAGGTGCTTCTTGCTCTAACACCAGGCATGTCTAATGAGTAACATATAAGTGTAATTTAATGTCTCTACTCAGACATTAATATTTAAGTATGGCCACTTTTTCTTTAAAATAAACTTCTTAAAAGTCTGATTTCTTTTTTTTTTCAATTTTTATTTTTTCAGCTAAAAATATCTTTAGAGTTCGCTTCCAAGACCCCTCTCCAGGCCAGTCTCACACTCTCCAGGCCAATGATGTGTTCCATAAGCAGCAGTGGTTCAATTGTATTCGAGCAGCCATTGCCCCTTTCCAGCAGGCCGCCAGCCCCTCAGAGCCCCATGGCTTGCCAGAGCTGCATGAGGAGTGTGAAGAGAACTGCCCCTCTGCCGCAAACCTCGGAGCCCAGAGAAGGGCATCCACGGTTTCCAGCATTATTCAGATAGAAGTTGATGAAAATGCTTCAGAGTGTTGTCCCAGTGTACAGACAGCAGAAGACACCAAGAGCATAAAAGCACACCGAACACAGCCTGGCTTCCGAAAAGCAAGAGACAAAGCCCAGTTAAGTGGCAAACGGAAGGAGACTTTGGTATAAAGGAAGCTCTCTGTGTTCACTGGTGGAGAGACTGTTTATTTATAAATGTGTACAGTTTTCTTTCTCTTGTAATGTGAGCATGGGAGGGAGAATCATAAGGTTACTTTATGCCCATTGTAACATTTTTATTGTTTTGGGTTCTTTTTCTTTTTTTAAATGGCAGCTAAATATCTACAAATTACTGTTCAATTTTTTAAAGGTATTTTCTCAGATTATTTAAAACATAAGCCTGAATTCTTAATCAAATGAAATATTTATGAAATAGGCTTTCTCCTATTTCTGGATTCGCCATAACTTTCTAATACCAGCCAATTATGATCTTTACAGTATTCATCAAAACTTAGAATTTTGCAAATACTGAGTTTCTTTAATAAACCTTGTATGCAGAATTTGAATTTTAAATTTGGCACCTAATATCTTTATGGTATTTATGTTTGGATATTTCAAAATTTACATGACTTCCTTGGAAAACAAACTATAAAACTTGATAGGTTTTCCATTTATCAACTGGAATGGTTTATGTTAGTTTTTTTATTGTTGTTGGGTTTTTTTTGTTGTTGGGGTTTTTTTTACTATACATTCCTCATTTTTAATTCATTTAACCTATAGGTTATTTAATTTTTTATGTAGTTTTTAGTATTTTCTTTTATTTTTTTACTTTGATGCCTTTCAAATTGGCATATCTTTAAAGAATTTTCTTCCTAATATGTGTGTGTGTGTGCGTGCGTGTGTGTGTGTATGTGTATATATATATGTGGGGGTTTTTTTCAATCATAAGAACTTTACCAAGTGAAACCAAGCCATACTGTTTTTGAGCCAATTAAGGAAACTGCAGTTTTTGAAGTGTAGAATTTTATGGAGATGAGAACACATGGAATGATAAAGTATGTTCTAGAGTACTGAAAGAGGACCACTTCGAGAATTTTGTGAAAGTTTAGGGCTGTCTGGCAAGCGAGAGAGAAGGCAGTTGACTGGTAATAAGTTTTAGAAAGGGGAAAAAGAGAGTAGTTTTGTTTTTTAAATGTCTGGTTGTACCAGAGTGGGAAAAAAGACAGGAAAAGCTCAGCTCGAGGGTGTATAGTAAGTTGTAGAAGGTTTGAGGGGATGTGAACTTTATTTGCTGTGTTTTATGATACCTGCAAATAATTAGTTTGAAAAGCAAGGATGAAGTGTGTTGACAGTTCTACCATATTAGGTCAAGTTTGATGGGTTTATTCATAAGATGGAAAGAAAAGACTGGTGAATCTTACTGCAGAAAGTTTCTGTTAAAAGAGATCGTAGTCTTTAAAGAGGGGAAGAACTTAAAGTCATCTGTCATGGCAGATCTATAATGGTGATCAAGTCATTGTTGACTGTTTGAAATATATTTGGCCAGTGGAAATGAAAATTGGAAAAAATTGTAAATAGATCAATCCAAATGATTTCTCTGTATAAATGAATTATCTAATTAAACAAACAAAAAAAAAGCACACACATAAAAACCCTAAAGATTTCTTGCCTGGTGGATATTTGGGGGACCTATGCTAGAATATGTTGATGTAATAAAAGCAGTAGTGGCAAGCCTCATGAAAGTTTATAAAAATCGTACCGTTAAACCTTTGAAATCCACTAATGAGGAAGAGAAAGCTTAATTAAGTCGTCTTACCAATCTTAAGAAATTTTTTAAAAACAGTGTAATCAGAAACAGCAATTGTTTTAAAGACAACTGAGCATTTAGCCACTTTCTGGATATAATAGTAAAATTTATTCCAAAACATCCTGATTAATTTCAAATATCAAATTTTAATGTAGGTATTTCATGTTCCTGGTGCCTGAAATTCTAATTCACTAATTCAAAGCATAGATTACACCAGTGATTGTGATTTAGAACAACAAAAAGCAAGATGTCTGATCATTTCTAGAAGTACTATATAAAATATCATTCCTTCCAGAATTACCTTGATCACCTTCTGAAGTTATAGAAGCCAGTGATGATTTAGATGTTGCTAATGGAGTGATATTTTATCTAAAACTTTGTCTTCCTTGGTTTTCTTAAGGGTGAAAATAAGACCCAGAAACTGAGTAAATATATATGACATGAACACTCTTCAGAAATAGTATCTATGTTTGAAAGCAATTGACGATCCAGTCCTGTAGTTCTCAAACCTGTTTGGGCATCAAAATCACCAGGGGTACTTAAAAAATGAAGGTAACTGGGCCTCACTCTCTAAACCCCACATTCATACACAGTTTCACTGAATCCAGATTTGGAGGTGGAGAGGTAGAAGGCTAATAATTTATATTTGCAAATACTACCCTTTAGTAATTCAGAAGTGAATTTAGTGAATTCCACAGATCAGCATTTAGTGGTCAGTAATCTAGCAAATCCCCTTTGTCTAAATGGCATATACTAAAGTCTTAACACATACCTGCTCTTCTCCCATTTTACCTGAACCTGTTCAGAGCTGCACAGAGTCTAATTTCCTTCCTTTTTAAACTCATAGCTCCATCTCAGGATATGTGGACACAAAGTGATAAAGGGAAGGAGTGTCTTCTGATTAACTAGCAGTTGGTGGGATGACAGCATCTATCACTCAAGTCACCTGGGGTCTTTTTAGACACCTTTCCTCAACTCACTCAACAGGTGTTTACCTGCTTTTGTGCTACCTAGATCTACTTTGTGTTCAGTGCTTTTTAGAATTTGCAGATTCAGCATGATACTTTGTTTTCTTTCTTTTTTCTTTTTTTCATTTTCAAATTTAAATAGCTGACTATAATGTTAGTAATTAATTTTACGAGCATCAGAAAATGCCTTGTTAAGCTTTCCATCTGTAAATCTTTTATAGACAGATATAGAAAGACAAAAAGTATCATGCTCTTGGGAACCAGCAGTTAGCGTAATGACTATGTCGCTGGATTCCCACGTCGTCGACTGTGGTTCACATCCTGGACCTGGTGGCTTAGAACTCACGCCGGGCACGTGTGCGTGCATGCCCAAGATCCCGAGAGGAGAATGGAGGAGAAGGGATTGCGGCATGACCATCCCCCCTGGGGGGGTGATTTCTCACTTTCTGTCTATATGTCTGTCTCTGGTGAGCGCACGCGCCCTATAGTGAAAACCTCTCAAAAAAAAAAAAAAAAAGTATCATGCTCTTATAATTTGTCTTCATCAGACTCCTCACTTGAAACTCGTGCTTATCCCTAGAGGTGAAACTGGCTGGTAATAAGTATGCCTTTGTTACATTTAGAAGTCCTAGGGATTTAAAGCAGATAGATAATATCTAAACAAACAAATTTGGGCTTTTTTTTTTAATTGGCATGAGAGAACACCTACAAAAGAGTAATACTACCCTTTGTCCATGGAACTTAATTCTGTGAGAGAAATATCCTAGAAAATAAATCTCCATGAATCCACAGGAAGTTTGGAATTTCTAGTCCCAAAAGAGTTTTGATTTTTTTGTGCACATTTAAGCAGTACCTAGACCCAACTGCAAGATAAGCCCTTTCTTGTTTGGTTGGTTACTCCAGTCCAAAGGTATTTAAACTTACTTAAAGTATGAATATTTTGACACTTGTGAAAGCTATGGACCCTGGAACTAGCGAATGGTGTTATCGCTATGGCACTGGACTCCCACGTAATTGACCATGGTTCAAGTACTGGACCCAGCGCCTTAAAATTCACACCTGGTGCATGTGCATGCGTGCCCAAAATCCCGAGAGGAGAACAGAGGAGAAGGGATTGTGCGTGGTCATCCCCCTTGGTGGTGATTTCTCACTTTCTGTTTCTCTGGCAAGCACACACGCCCTATAGCAAAAAATCTCTCTTTAAAAAAAGCTGTGGGGACCAGCAGATGGCTACATCACTGGGCTCCCATGTAGTTGACCGCAGTTCAAGTCCCGGACCCTGTGGCTTAAACTCATGCCGGGCGCATGTGCACGTGTGCCCAAGATCCCAAGAGGAGAATGGAGGAGAAGGGACTGCAGCATGGCCATTCCCCTTGGGGAGGTAGTTTCTCACTTTCTGTCTCTCTAATTCTCTCTGTCTTTCTGGTGAGCATACACACCCTATAGCAAAAAAATAAAATAAAAAAGCCATGGACCCTTCTCCAGAAAGAATAGCAGTTAAAGACTGTCATCTCCACACTTAGGCTGGTCTTCTAAGTCACACTTATGACATATTCAATCATTCTGAATAGGATTTTCTTCAGGATAATACAAAAAAAAAAAAATACTTTTTTGTAAAGTATTTTCAATTTGCTATCAGAGTCCTAGCTTCAAAATGTTCCCCCTTCTAAGCCCTGTTCTCTGCAGCAAAGTCCCTTTTCCACTTTTCCAAGAAATGGGTTTGTGAGATGAGTATGGACTTGAAAAATAGGAGATTCTTTCCTAAACACAAAGTCACTGGGTGCACAGTATCTCAGGATGAATGGGGTATCAGTTTAAAAGTACTTGAGACAGCATCAATTGGGATAACAACAGTAGAATTAAACAAGTCAAACATGTTTAAATGCATGGCTTCTTGATGCCCTAAAAATAAATATTTGTGTCCCTTTTGGAGTGTATCAGGGACCGACTTACTACTTTGAATATTAGTAAATGGAAATAATCAGGAATTTATCCTACCTGATCCTCTTAAAGCTGTTCCTCAGTGTAACCAAATAGCTAAGAAACCACAGGTTGAATAACCCAGTTAGTAAACGAAGAAAGGGTAGAATATCACCATCTTGTAACTCTTCTAAAATGGTAAGTCTGGATATTAGTCAGTTATAAGGACCCAGAAGACAGATGGCAGATGTCGCTTGCCTTCTTGGGGAAGCACACCTCATGTCAGCAGTCCTGCCAAGAAGGTCAGGTCTGAATCAGCTCCAGGAAACTGAAAGACAAATGACGATTTCTTCAACAAAATAGAAACTGGAAAAAAGAAATGTCAGGGGGGAATCTATGACTTAAGTGACCTATCAAATAACTGCAATGCATGGACCTTAAGTGTATATTCGAAGTTGGAGTGGGAACCTTATCCCCTACTCTTTGAGGACTCGGCAGTTGAGCCTGTTAAGTGAACTGGCAAGTAGGCAGATTAACAAAAAAGCATTTTAATTACATCCACCCAAAATATGAGCTTGAGGACCAGGTAATTGAACTTTTTAATAGCAGCCCAAACTGCAGAAAGAAATAGAGACTTAGGACTTCTGGAGGGAAGAGAAGAGAGGGAAGGTGATCCAGGTTGTGCTAGGATGAGAGGAATCATCTGATGAATAAAGGTCTTTTTAAACAAATAAGTCTGTCAGGTGATAGTTGTCACAAAGCAGTTGTCTCTTCCAGCTACAGACACTTCACTGATGTAAATTTCCTTTATAGCTTTTCAGAGTTACTCCTATGTATGCAGCTTCTCAGAATAACCAGGACAAAATATGCCAAAGAAGTCTGTTTGGGGATGGCACATTCTGGTGCCCTGT